TTGTCACGACAGTTTTATCATTTTCAAATTTGTTTTGACATCAAGTTTTTGATAATATATATTGGTAACACAAATGTATTTCGATAATATTATTTGTAAATAATAAAATGTATAATTAATGAATAATTTGAAACGTTAAACTATTATTATGCCGTAAATATATTCTATCCAACCTCAGTTTATATATTATTGTATTACCTAGCAATTTTAAAAAAACTGGTTTCATTCCTTTGACTCGTGTATCTAAATAGTAAATAACAATAAATATGTTTAATTATATATTACTCCTGTTGTGAATGATTAATAAGTTTTGTTTTGTAATTATTTAAATCGTTTTGTGTTGTAAGGCAAGAAAACGTGATGTTTTCCTTGTATTTCGTAACTTATTTGGTATTTAACCGTTGTAAAATATTATTAATGAGTAATAATAATTAATTTATGAGATTTTTTTACGGTTATACCATGGTTGAAATATACTATGGATAAGCAATGCATATGGAACGACTGGACAGCGTTTTTGTAGTTTTTTTTCTGACAAAAAGGCTCAAAATGCATTTCAAACAAAAATGCTTGTCGGCTAAAATAAACCATGTGATGGATTTTTCTGTCTATAGCTATGCCATACGTATCACTTATTGCCTATATATTGTACCTATATTATATTTTAATTTATGATTACACTCTGACCTCGGCGCCTTTTATGTTTCTTTTATCATTACCGGTATTTTATTCATTAAGATAAATAGCTTAAAATTAAAATAGAATAGACTATTTTATCAATTGAGTAATTATCTTGGGTTACCATTTGGAATGACGCCAACATTTATAATATGCTAAGTGAATGTTGCTTATAAAGAAGTTTCTGTAGTAGTATGATTTATAACAATTTTCCTAGCCATTTAACTCGTCGTGATTCCCATAACGGTCTTCCTTATTTGAACAGTGAAATGTCGTGTGGACACCACTTCTTTTTTTTATAGCTGTATTGTGCATAGATGATACCTACGTTCTACCTAAGTTTCTCGATACTATAAATGCAGTTGGTATACAAGCTTATCATCGGCAAATACCTCAAGCAGAAAATTTTTGAAAATAATCTTTTTTACTAAAAGTAAAAACGTTCACTCATTCAACCCTAAAATCTTGGAAAAAACAAAAAAAAAATTAAAAATTTTCATTGTTCAACTTTGACTATTTGTAATTTCGAATAATGTCTATAGAGTAAAAACAAAACAGTGGACGTTTCTTATATGGGACGCTATAATTAAAATCATTAGGTATATGATACACATTTTACTAAATATTTTGTGTAATGTTGATAAGTTTATAAATATTTGGAATTATGTAGGTAATCATACATTTGAGCTTTGAAGTATATCATTTTTTTAAATACTAGAAAATAATTAATAATTGCAGTAATAAGTAATCCAAGTCTGTAAACAATTGTCTTTTTGTTCCTAACAAAATCACTATTTTTATATAAGTATCATAAAAAGCAAGCCATAGTGTTTTGCACTAAACATTAATTTTAAATATATTCCGGCGTGTTGACTTTTAAAATTGATTTCAGAAAGTACCGTTTATGACACTTGTGTACAATTAATGTGCAACTGAAAATATTACAATTCAGTTGAATATAATATGTCCCGGTAGCTATAAACTTTGTAGGTATAACTTTTTTATTTTTATTAAAAAAATGCATTACAGATGTTTTAATCCAGACAGAATATCGTGCTAATTGTTACTTGTTAGTGGTTGAGTTACTCGGAGTTGTTTATTGGTGGTATGCAATGAATAAATTATCGCATTATATTATAAGGACAGAAAATAATTGGCTGACTTACTAAATGCACTTTTGAGCAATACTGGTTGAGAACGGATTACCTATGTGAGAGCCAGATGTCTGTACTTTTTGGATAAAATGTATTCGTTCACCGGTAGTGACTTAGACGTGTTCATTAATTTAAACATTCAACTCGAGTTCAAAAACTCAGACTGGAAGTTTTCAACAGCTATTTATCAGATTAAGGTTTTAGATTTGACAGAAAAATCGTACAGACATTCGTCCATGTTCCGCTAATAATTGAATATTTTTTGTATTATTTAAATACATTACATAAATAATTTTGAACTTTTTGTATCAATATTTAAAAATTCAATTTATTCAGCTATTAACCCATTTGTTTTGATATTATAATGTAGGTACATTATTCATGTTTTTCTTATTTTTTTTTTTTACTTATTACATTCACATTGTTTTTTAAAATATTTGTGAAAATAATATTTCATATTATTATTATTATTCGATTGTTGAACTAAAACTTACTCAAAATTAATTTGTATTAAGTCCAAATGCTTATTCTGATCGTCATTATAAATGAGTATTGCAAATGTTTAAGATAATCAAATTAAACAAATATATTAATAAATAAAAGCAAATAAGTATATCAAATATTAAATTAAAACCTAATTCGACGTTAGATTAATAGTATCAATTTACATGTTGTTTTTTAACACTCGCAGTTAATGTTGAACTTTAAATCGGGTAACCTCAATTACAACGAAATCGAATAAGCAAGTGTTTACATGTTTTTGGCTTAAGAAATTAATTAGTCCAGCTCGAACCTGACCTAACTTGATGTGAATTGAGTTAATTTCTGAGTGAAATTCGTTTGAAGTAATTATTTTGCATTGAAAATGTTTTGTATGCATTATCGATGCCCATAATAAATGCATTAATTATTTACTTCTAATAATATTTTCACTGAATTTCGATTGTAACATCTTTGGGACTTCTACACTTTCTTACCACGTTGACATGCTTTGGTTTCTAATGCGCATTATAGCTTTATTGCGAGTTAATAATTAATTCGAGATTTCTCAAATTGAATTAACTATTTCTCCGGAAACATACATTGCACGTGCGCCCAATTGTTGATGCACATTAACTTATTAAATACCAAAACCAGGTAATCAATCGAAACGACATAACCGTTTTAAGTTTATAATCTATTTAATACAGTGATTTAAAACGCCACTAAGCTAAAATGTACACTATTTATAATAACTAAAATGTCTATTGAAATGATTAATAATATTCAGAGTTTGAACTCTTAAATAACAAATAACAATGAACATTTTAGAGTTATGCTATGATAATAACCCCACTTGGACCTATTAACAATAACAATACATTATCTTGTAATAACGCCCACGTCTCGTTTTTTAATTCGGAAATTTATTTTCAGACGTTTATATTTACTTTAGTTTTGGATTTTACTTTTTATCGGATGAACTTTGGTTGGCAATTAAAAAACAATACATTTAGGTTGTTTTGGCTACGGAACAAAATAATAGGAGTATTTTTATCCGGAAATGTTTTTTCATACTATCAAGCTTGTGGCATAACAAATAAATAATATTGCAGTTAACCTGACCTAACCTAACTTGTCTTATTTTTATGTTACACTTCTTATTTGGAACACAGTCAATACACGTGCACTAGTTATGTAAAAAAATGTGTTCATTAAATGAAAAATGAATTTCGAGTAGGTATGATGTCTGATCCACACACTTGATACATTAAGAAATCAGTTTAATGGAAATAAAAAAGTTATCGTGGGTCAAGTAATAACACGCCATTACAACACCGTTACCTTCTCAGCTTCGCATCCAAACTAAAAAATTCAACATAACGTAATATGTATGTATCACGGTGTTAATACTTTCTGTTTCTATTCTACTTATTTGCAGTACTTGCTTATGCAATATTAATAAGGAATAATTAAATCGATAAGGTTGTAACTAAGTTGATTTGTACATTTTTCGAACAGATTTAAGGTTAACAACAAGAAACTCTTACTTGGCAAAATAAAAATGTAGCATTTATGATTTATGTAGAATTAGAACGTTTTTTCATTTATTGCAACATAAGTTTTTGATGACTATTTGTTTTATTTGAATTTTTATTTAGTATAATTATTATGAAAAATATTCACAAATAAATAAAACTATTAATAGTACATAGGTTTAATACAAATTGCTTTACTAATAGGACCAAAAACTAAAACCATGAGTTGATTAGTTCGTTCGTTTTTACAACAAAATATCATACATTTTGGACAAACTGAATTTGTTTTCAAATAATAGCTAATTCTGTCAACATTGTCAGTAAAATTAATTTTTCTAATTTTTTAGGCGTTAAAACACATATTTTAAAATTCATAAAATTAAAATAAATACATTTTTTAAGTGATTCGTATTATATTTTCTACCAATGCAATTGAGAGACCATACAACATTATTAGGACATAATATCGTAAAATGCTAAATAACAACATGCGAATTTTTTAATTATACGTTATAACAAATGTAATAGTATTTTCTTATTTTTACTTTATACATGAACAAATCTTAGTAGGCCATAGTAATTGTTGAAGACCTTGAACTCTATATGAATTATTAATGTATTTTATGCATGCTATATCCTTATATTTATTTAAATAAAAGTATTTTATTTTAATAAGTTAACTAAAAATATGTCACTATCATAAATTATTCGTTAAACAAATTTAACAGTTTTATTTATTTTTGATAGTTTGTAATATCTGAAATTAGAATTACCTAGACTTGAAAATTCTTAGGTTCTTCGATTTTTCTTTTTCATTTCGTTAAATTTTTAAAATGGCTTTCAAATTAATATTTTTATCTTTTTAATTGATCCATTTACTTTGGCAATGCTTATTATTCTTCATTGATTTACAGCATTACAGTTAGAAAACTTAATAACATTTTACATAAATTCTTTAAATTTAAAGTGACTAGTTAAACCATCGACGATCAAGCATACATTTATTGTGTTTAGAATGAATATGTGTTCATTAAAATACACAATTACTGTATTATTATTATATATTACTATATAATTGTCAAGATTAATATTTCTATGGAATAAAACTTGAAAAAAAAACATTAAATAAATAATAACGTGTTCTGTTTAGGCTTATGACTGAATCTAATGAAAAAACCTACTACGTGTCGATATGTCGAAGAATACCACTCAATGGTTCCACAAGTTTAGCTGGAGCTGTGAAATTCAATCCTAATGGAGAATACGTCGTTTTGGGTCAAATTGATCAAGCCGATGTCGTTGTAAACGGTAAACTTAAAAACAATAATTGTATACCTCAAACTGACTCTGCATTAACCTGTACTTATGTTTTTAGAGAAAACTATCGTTCTTACGTACACTGGAGGTGATGTTAACACTGATTTAGACAACGAATGCAGAGGCAACCGATGGAAGACATATCTCACTTTTATCTGCAACCCATACGTGATTGATGTAAGTCGAAATTGACAACTTGTGAAACTCTTTTAATTAAAAAAAAAAATTCTATAATTTAGTTTTCAGTTTTTAAGAACTACACTGAAACAAATTTTCCGGTAAACTCAACACTGATAAACGCCATTATAAAATTGAAATCGTCTAATACATACTACTTTTTAAGGCGCTCAGTGTAGGCAATCTTTTGACAAAACTTAATGTAGGATACTTTGTTGGTTGTTAATTTTGTTATAAGCCATTATTATTTAACATTGAATTAAAAAAAAAAACAGTTCCAACTTATTTTTTTAGCTTTTTGAACAACGGTAAATCAAATAAGTTTTTTAATACATTATTTATGTTTTTTTTACTATTTTGACCTTTTATAAGTTTTAAAAAATTAATATTTTCGTTTTTTTAACTTTGATTAATTTTTAAAAAAAACCTTCTTATGTAATTGAAACTTATCTAAACGGCATAGGTAAATAGGTAAAAATCATGATTTTATTATTAATTTAAACTTCAGATTCTTATGTCAAACAAAATAACAGATCTTAACATTAAACTTCACCGAAATAAACTACCCTGTTGAATATGAATAATATCAATAAACGCCAATATAAGATTTAAATCCATTAAGCTTATAAAATTTGTATTTATTTGAAACTAAAATATTAATAATTTATAAAGACATATTATACTACGTTTTAAGGCGTTTGTTGTAGGCAATTTTTCAACAAAACTAAATTGGTAGAACATTTTTTTCCTAAATAAACTTCTCACACTTTACTTAAAATGCAAATGGAAAATTTAATTTAATTTAAAATTTAATTCATTATTTTTTTTTACTTTGTGTAAACCAAAAAATACTTAATTATAAAATTAAAAAGACCTTTTCGAAAGGGAGACTATTGTAAAATTATAATGATGGCTAATTTCATATTTTAGCAAAAAAATAAAGTAATCGTATAAATGTTATTTCGTTCAGTATGTGAATTCAGGTGGATAAATTGAAGTTTAGTTAAATTGTATAAATAATGTTTTATTAAAGTACACTGCTCAGTAAGTAATTATTTCGGTTCTTTTTAGGATACCCTGACGTTAGTGGACGAAGATCCAGATCAGCCTGAGATATGTCAGATAAGATTTGAAATACCAACGTCAAAAACATGTCGACGGAACTCAAGTGTTGCCGTAGGAGTTCCTATTATATATAATAAACGCAATAATTTGCCGTTTGATTCACACATCAACGTTACTCAAAATAATAATATAATCAATAAGGTAAACAAGGAGAATTTTAACAAGTATCAACATGATGAAATGGAATACTATCAAAATAATTCAAATTACACCCAACAAGATAGTTTAAGAATTCGAGAAATCAATATTAGAAAAACGCATCCGAATGCTTTCGAGTACGTTCATTCAAAGTTACAAAATAGCTCTCGTCGATTGTTTTTAAACGAGAGTGCTAATAATAGAATGTATAAGAATGATCCGAATGTGCCAAATCGTACAAACGGTTCATTCGTCTTGAACCGTCATAGTTTTTACGAAGATGATAAATCGATGCATAAAGTGAATGGTCCAAATGAAATCCTGGAACAATACGAAGACTCACGCCAAGACTTTTTGAATTATAATCGCCAACTATATGAAAACAGAAGGTTGATTGCGGAGAAAGACACTTCTAAATTCATCAAGGACATGGAAAACCGGCACGATACATCACAAAGAATTAATCCTTTTTACAAAAATAATCAACTTGTTGGCGTACATTCTGATAATTTGTCTCCTGAAAATTGGTTTCAAAAAATGGAGAGTGAAGTCGTACGAAAAAACATAGAAACACAACATTACATGGAATATGTCAATAAAAATCGTTTCAATATATCTCATGATTACAATTTCAGTAATAACTATTACGAATATAATAATTCTTCGGCAAGAATTGTCGACAAGTGGTTACGACTTTATAACGAAACGCAAATGCGTGGTGTAAGCCCGAGTAATGATCATGAAAGCTTCAATAAAAACCAGGCAGCTAACAATAATTTTTTCATGAATATTTTATTCAACGTCAAACGGTTATGGAATGGTTTGTACAAAAGTAAGAGTCCACCTGAAGCGAAAAACGGTGTGCAAAACCACGACGAAATTCAAAACTTCGAGCTTGATAACGAACAGTCGAAGAATCGTTATGAACAATATTCTTACTACATGAATAACAATAAAAATAATACAAGAGATGAAAAATCGACTTATAAGCTAAATGATCCAAACGGAATTCCGGGACGAATCGAAAACTCACGCCAAGACTTTTTGAATTATAATCGCCAACTATATGAAAACAGGAGATTTATTGCGGAGAAAGACACTTCCAAATTCATTAAGGACATGAAAAACCGGCACGATACATCTCAAAGAATTAATCCTTTTTACAAAAATAACCAACATGTTGGCGTACATTCTGATAGTTGGCTTAAGAAAATGGAGAGTGAAGTCGTACGAAAAAATATGCTTGGTAACGAACTGTTCAAGAATCGTTATGAAGTGCCCGAGAAAGATTATACCTCTTTTACCAATTATTCGATTAATAAAGAGTACACCCCATACAATCACAAAAGTACATACAGAACAAATGAACCGGTTTATACCGACTTTGAAAACCGTCGAGAACCCAAGAAAAGCGGTTACTACAACACAAATGATACAGACTATTGGAATAAACCAAATGATTCAAAGTTGCATTCCGATTATTTCGGAAATGATCGAAATTTAACAAATATTACCTACAGCAAAATTGAATCTCATCGTGAAATGAAAGACGCCAATGGACGTCCTAATTACAATGCTAACAACATTACCACTAATAATAAACCAAATTATGAAAACAGCATGTATCCGAGTGATTACACCCAGATTTTGAATGAAGATAATCGTCCAGAATATAATAGAACCGGTGAAAACTACAATAATACTCAACATTTAGTCTCTGATCATCAAACAACAACTGTTACTAATAATTCGTATCCCAACAATATAAAACATAATAATGGAAATAACTTAAATAATATTGTACAACAAAATATTAGTTCTAATGAGAATATCAATAGCTCTGGAACTAAGAATGACCATTCGATATCATCACAAGCTGATAACTCTAAACTTGATAACACAACAGTTGAAAATAAAATTCAAACAAGTAATTCTTCGGAATCAAATAAGAATGGAACACCTGTCAACAGCAAAAATTATGAAGTAGGTTTGAATCAATCAAACTCTAGTATAAACAACAACAGTTATGAAAATTTGAATCAATATAATGCCAGTGTAAACAATAACAATTATGACAAGAACTCAAGTCAGTCTAATACTAGTATGAATAACAACAGTTTTAAGAATTCAAATCAGTCTGATGTTAGTATAATTAACAATGGTTATAATAACTCAAATCAGTCCAACGTCGGTGTAAATAATGAAAATTATAACAAGAATTCGAATCAGTCTAATGCTAGTATGAACAACAATAATTATAAGAATTTTAATCAGTCTAGTGCTAGTATGAACAATAATAGTTATGAGAACTCGAATCAGTCTAATACTAATATAAATAACAATAATTATAAGAATTCGAATCAGACTAATGCTAGTATGAACAAAAATAATTATAAGAATTTAAATCAGTCTAGTGCTAGTATGAACAATAATAGTTATGAGAATTCGAATCAGTCTAACGCCGAAGTAAGTAATGATAATTATAACAAGAATTCGAATCAGTCTAACGCCGAAGTAAATAATGATAATTATAATAAGAATTCGAATCAGTCTAACGCCGAAGTAAATAATGATAATTATAACAAGAATTCGAATCAGTCTAACGCCGAAGTAAATAATGATAATTATAACAAGAATTCGAATCAGTCTAACGCCGAAGTAAATAACGATAATTATAACAAGAATTCGAATCAGTCTAACGCCGAAGTAAATAATGATAATTATAACAAGAATTCGAATCGGTCTAACGCCGAAGTAAATAATGATAATTATAACAAGAATTCGAATCAGACGACAGCCAGTATAAACACCAAAAATAATGTGAATAATGTAAATCAAGCAAACTCCAATGAAAATAATGATGTGAAGAATAGTAATCAACCAACCACCAGTACAAATAACAACAATTATCAAAATAACTCAAATCAGTCCATTGTCGATTCCAGTAATACAACGGCAAATGTTGATACTGAGGAAACTTTAAAAAATAAACATACAAATAAGACGGTGAATAATACTAGCAGTGTTGAATCAGTTACAGATAAAAATAATACTACTGCAGCTATTTTAATAACGAAAAATAAAGGGAATAGTCAACAAAAGGTAAACGATACTACGCCAATGCATGTTGACAATAGCAGTATTAAGCCTACCAATAACAGTACTAATACTACATCAATAGAAGACAAAACTGAGAAAAGTAAAACAAATCAAACAGGATTAATTAATACCCATAACGGAAATAATACGTCGAATAATGCAACAGTTGAGAGTAAAATAAATAATATTGAGAGTGGAATTAATAAAATAACAAATGGACCCATTAGTGCGGACCAATCGACCACGACAGAAGACAGCAACACTGCGAAAGTACTCAGTAAAACTAAATCAGACAATACAAATGATAAACAGTCGAAAATTATGAGTTTTGCTTCGAAAATAATCCCGAAATCTGTAATAACTATAATTGGGTCGATGTAAGTATTTCATTATTCATATTAATACAAAAATGTATATCTACCAATATATATCACTAATTAAAATAATTTTTTTTCAGAGTGGTCTTACCAGTAGCCTATTTTACAATAGGTACAGGAATTAATAGATTCGTCCGTGGCATTTCAGGACCGGGTCAAGTACCTCACAGCGAAGGAATACAAAATGGCATTTCATTTTTAAAAGTAAGTAAAAAAAAAAAAGTATTAGATATAATATGTCATAAAAAATAGTTACCCATAAATTATATATGAAAATTATAGGACTTACTGCCGAAAAAATATGGATACGAGAATTTGGAAAAATCTACTGAAGTCAACGAAAAAACCCCACTAATAGGACCAACAAATTCAAAAGAAACTTCAAATGAAGAATCAAATTCAAAACAAGATGATCGGTACCAAGGATCTGACGAAAATGATTACACCAAAGATCAAAAAGATAACAATAGAAACGAAGGGAAACACAACGAAAATTTAAATAGCCTATCAACAGATAGTAATTCACCTAAATCCAAACAACAGAAGAAAAAGAAAAAACGCAAAAAGAGAAGCGTAAATTCAGATACAACAGATTCAGACGATAACTCACAAAATGGCGATGTAAAAGTAGTACAAAAAAAAAGCAATGGAAAATTAAATCAAACGAAAGAAAAACCACAGCAAAGCATGAAAATTGATAATACTGATGAAAGTACAACAATGAAGATACTAAAGCATACAACAATAGCTCCAATAGCAACAAACTCTGTCACATCGCCACCAAAACAAAATCATTCAACATTAGAATTAAATTTCCCCGACAATGATATCCTAAAAGTAAAAGATATAAGGGAAAATAACGAAAGTAATTTCCCAAACAAGAAAATTCCATCCCCGTTAAATGGATCTAGTAACAGTGAAGAAGACGAACTCATAGAAGTGGACAAGGATCATCACGGAAAACGAGAAGAAATCACTTCCGAAGTCTCAACCGTATCAACATCTGTCCACGGTGAACGGAAAAAATCAGCAGTTGCCACGACCACTGAGAAGAGTGAAGTATCAGCTGACGTGTCGGGTGAATCAATAATCCATAAGGAAAACGAAAAACACGTCTCCAATGAAGGCAAACCACACGGCTTCCACATCGGTTTGGGCCACGGTGGTTTGAACATTGGTGTAGGAGACAAGAAGATCGGATTGGGTTTGTCCGGCATTAAAGTTGGTAAAGAAACCGAGCAAGAAAAAGAAGACGAATTTATAGAAGTAGACAAGGCTGGCGTCAAGATCAAAAAACCGCATCATCACGGGAAAACTGAAGAAGAAATCACTTCCGAAGTCTCAACCGTATCAACATCTGTCCACGGTGAACGGAAAAAATCAGCAGGTGCCACGACCACTGAGAAGAGTGAAGTATCAGCTGACGTGTCGGGTGAATCAATAATCCATAAGGAAAACGAAAAACACGTCTCCAATGAAGGCAAACCACACGGCTTCCACATCGGTTTGGGCCACGGTGGTTTGAACATTGGTGTAGGAGACAAGAAGATCGGATTGGGTTTGTCCGGCATTAAAGTTGGTAAAGAAACCGAGCAAGAAAAAGAAGACGAATTTATAGAAGTAGACAAGGCTGGCGTCAAGATCAAAAAACCGCATCATCACGGGAAAACTGAAGAAGAAATCACTTCCGAAGTCTCAACCGTATCAACATCTGTCCACGGTGAACGGAAAAAATCAGCAGGTGCCACGACCACTGAGAAGAGTGAAGTATCAGCTGACGTGTCGGGTGAATCAATAATCCATAAGGAAAACGAAAAACACGTCTCCAATGAAGGCAAACCACACGGCTTCCACATCGGTTTGGGCCACGGTGGTTTGAACATTGGTGTAGGAGACAAGAAGATCGGATTGGGTTTGTCCGGCATTAAAGTTGGTAAAGAAACCGAGCAAGAAAAAGAAGACGAATTTATAGAAGTAGACAAGGCTGGCGTCAAGATCAAAAAACCGCATCATCACGGGAAAACTGAAGAAGAAATCACTTCCGAAGTCTCAACCGTATCAACATCTGTCCACGGTGAACGGAAAAAATCAGCAGTTGCCACGACCACTGAGAAGAGTGAAGTATCAGCTGACGTGTCGGGTGAATCAATAATCCATAAGGAAAACGAAAAACACGTCTCCAATGAAGGCAAACCACACGGCTTCCACATCGGTTTGGGCCACGGTGGTTTGAACATTGGTGTAGGAGACAAGAAGATCGGATTGGGTTTGTCCGGCATTAAAGTTGGTAAAGAAACCGAGCAAGAAAAAGAAGACGAATTTATAGAAGTAGACAAGGCTGGCGTCAAGATCAAAAAACCGCATCATCACGGGAAAACTGAAGAAGAAATCACTTCCGAAGTCTCAACCGTATCAACATCTGTCCACGGTGAACGGAAAAAATCAGCAGTTGCCACGACCACTGAGAAGAGTGAAGTATCAGCTGACGTGTCGGGTGAATCAACAATCCATAAGGAAAACGAAAAACACGTCTCCAATGAAGGCAAACCACACGGCTTCCACATCGGTTTGGGCCACGGTGGTTTGAACATTGGTGTAGGAGACAAGAAGATCGGATTGGGTTTGTCCGGCATTAAAGTTGGTAAAGAAGCAGAGCAAGCAAAAGAAGACGAATTTTTAGGATTAGACAAGGCTGGCGTCAAGATCAAAAAACCGCATCATCACGGGAAAACTGAAGAAGAAATCACTTCCGAAGTCTCAACCGTATCAACATCTGTCCACGGTGAACGGAAAAAATCAGCAGGTGCCACGACCACTGAGAAGAGTGAAGTATCAGCTGACGTGTCGGGTGAATCAATAATCCATAAGGAAAACGAAAAACACGTCTCCAATGAAGGCAAACCACACGGCTTCCACATCGGTTTGGGCCACGGTGGTTTGAACATTGGTGTAGGAGACAAGAAGATCGGATTGGGTTTGTCCGGCATTAAAGTTGGTAAAGAAGCAGAGCAAGCAGAAGAAGACGAATTTTTAGGATTAGACAAGGCTGGCGTCAAGATCAAAAAACCGCATCATCACGGGAAAACTGAAGAAGAAATCACTTCCGAAGTCTCAACCGTATCAACATCTGTCCACGGTGAACGGAAAAAATCAGCAGTTGCCACGACCACTGAGAAGAGTGAAGTATCAGCTGACGTGTCGGGTGAATCAACAATCCATAAGGAAAACGAAAAACACGTCTCCAATGAAGGCAAACCACACGGCTTCCACATCGGTTTGGGCCACGGTGGTTTGAACATTGGTGTAGGAGACAAGAAGATCGGATTGGGTTTGTCCGGCATTAAAGTTGGTAAAGAAGCAGAGCAAGCAGAAGAAGACGAATTTATAGAAGTAGACAAGGCTGGCGTCAAGATCAAAAAACCGCATCATCACGGGAAAACTGAAGAAGAAATCACTTCCGAAGTCTCAACCGTATCAACATCTGTCCACGGTGAACGGAAAAAATCAGCAGTTGCCACGACCACTGAGAAGAGTGAAGTATCAGCTGACGTGTCGGGTGAATCAACAATCCATAAGGAAAACGAAAAACACGTCTCCAATGAAGGCAAACCACACGGCTTCCACATCGGTTTGGGCCACGGTGGTTTGAACATTGGTGTAGGAGACAAGAAGATCGGATTGGGTTTGTCCGGCATTAAAGTTGGTAAAGAAACCGAGCAAGAAAAAGAAGACGAATTTATAGAAGTAGACAAGGCTGGCGTCAAGATCAAAAAACCGCATCATCACGGGAAAACTGAAGAAGAAATCACTTCCGAAGTCTCAACCGTATCAACATCTGTCCACGGTGAACGGAAAAAATCAGCAGGTGCCACGACCACTGAGAAGAGTGAAGTATCAGCTGACGTGTCGGGTGAATCAATAATCCATAAGGAAAACGAAAAACACGTCTCCAATGAAGGCAAACCACACGGCTTCCACATCGGTTTGGGCCACGGTGGTTTGAACATTGGTGTAGGAGACAAGAAGATCGGATTGGGTTTGTCCGGCATTAAAGTTGGTAAAGAAACCGAGCAAGAAAAAGAAGACGAATTTATAGAAGTAGACAAGGCTGGCGTCAAGATCAAAAAACCGCATCATCACGGGAAAACTGAAGAAGAAATCACTTCCGAAGTCTCAACCGTATCAACATCTGTCCACGGTGAACGGAAAAAATCAGCAGTTGCCACGACCACTGAGAAGAGTGAAGTATCAGCTGACGTGTCGGGTGAATCAATAATCCATAAGGAAAACGAAAAACACGTCTCCAATGAAGGCAAACCACACGGCTTCCACATCGGTTTGGGCCACGGTGGTTTGAACATTGGTGTAGGAGACAAGAAGATCGGATTGGGTTTGTCCGGCATTAAAGTTGGTAAAGAAGCAGAGCAAGCAGAAGAAGACGAATTTTTAGGATTAGACAAGGCTGGCGTCAAGATCAAAAAACCGCATCATCACGGGAAAACTGAAGAAGAAATCACTTCCGAAGTCTCAACCGTATCAACATCTGTCCACGGTGAACGGAAAAAATCAGCAGGTGCCACGACCACTGAGAAGAGTGAAGTATCAGCTGACGTGTCGGGTGAATCAACAATCCATAAGGAAAACGAAAAACACGTCTCCAATGAAGGCAAACCACACGGCTTCCACATCGGTTTGGGCCACGGTGGTTTGAACATTGGTGTAGGAGACAAGAAGATCGGATTGGGTTTGTCCGGCATTAAAGTTGGTAAAGAAGCAGAGCAAGCAGAAGAAGACGAATTTTTAGGATTAGACAAGGCTGGCGTCAAGATCAAAAAACCGCATCATCACGGGAAAACTGAAGAAGAAATCACTTCCGAAGTCTCAACCGTATCAACATCTGTCCACGGTGAACGGAAAAAATCAGCAGGTGCCACGACCACTGAGAAGAGTGAAGTATCAGCTGACGTGTCGGGTGAATCAATAATCCATAAGGAAAACGAAAAACACGTCTCCAATGAAGGCAAACCACACGGCTTCCACATCGGTTTGGGCCACGGTGGTTTGAACATTGGTGTAGGAGACAAGAAGATCGGATTGGGTTTGTCCGGCATTAAAGTTGGTAAAGAAGCAGAGCAAGCAGAAGAAGACGAATTTATAGAAGTAGACAAGGCTGGCGTCAAGATCAAAAAACCGCATCATCACGGGAAAACTGAAGAAGAAATCACTTCCGAAGTCTCAACCGTATCAACATCTGTCCACGGTGAACGGAAAAAATCAGCAGGTGCCACGACCACTGAGAAGAGTGAAGTATCAGCTGACGTGTCGGGTGAATCAATAATCCATAAGGAAAACGAAAAACACGTCTCCAATGAAGGCAAACCACACGGCTTCCACATCGGTTTGGGCCACGGTGGTTTGAACATTGGTGTAGGAGACAAGAAGATCGGATTGGGTTTGTCCGGCATTAAAGTTGGTAAAGAAGCAGAGCAAGAAAAAGAAGACGAATTTATAGAAGTAGACAAGGCTGGCGTCAAGATCAAAAAACCGCATCATCACGGGAAAACTGAAGAAGAAATCACTTCCGAAGTCTCAACCGTATCAACATCTGTCCACGGTGAACGGAAAAAATCAGCAGGTGCCACGACCACTGAGAAGAGTGAAGTATCAGCTGACGTGTCGGGTGAATCAATAATCCATAAGGAAAACGAAAAACACGTCTCCAATGAAGGCAAACCACACGGCTTCCACATCGGTTTGGGCCACGGTGGTTTGAACATTGGTGTAGGAGACAAGAAGATCGGATTGGGTTTGTCCGGCATTAAAGTTGGTAAAGAAGCCGAGCAAGCAGAAGAAGACGAATTTATAGAAGTAGACAAGGCTGGCGTCAAGATCAAAAAACCGCATCATCACGGGAAAACTGAAGAAGAAATCACTTCCGAAGTCTCAACCGTATCAACATCTGTCCACGGTGAACGGAAAAAATCAGCAGGTGCCACGACCACTGAGAAGAGTGAAGTATCAGCTGACGTGTCGGGTGAATCAATAATCCATAAGGAAAACGAAAAACACGTCTCCAATGAAGGCAAACCACACGGCTTCCACATCGGTTTGGGCCACGGTGGTTTGAACATTGGTGTAGGAGACAAGAAGATCGGATTGGGTTTGTCCGGCATTAAAGTTGGTAAAGAAGCAGAGCAAGCAGAAGAAGACGAATTTATAGAAGTAGACAAGGCTGGCGTCAAGATCAAAAAACCGCATCATCACGGGAAAACTGAAGAAGAAATCACTTCCGAAGTCTCAACCGTATCAACATCTGTCCACGGTGAACGGAAAAAATCAGCAGGTGCCACGACCACTGAGAAGAGTGAAGTATCAGCTGACGTGTCG